ATTTATATATACATAAGAATACACAGAACACGCATATTATGCAAACAAAAACTATTAATCACGATTAATCGTTTGACAGCACTAGAAAAAAAGTTGTTCAAATTGTAATTTTTCATAATATTCCTGTTTTACTATTACTATTTTGAATAAATAAATGCAGCCTACATTAGCAATAGTTATAGAAAAGTTGTTTTGGAACAATAAGTATATTTTCTAACTGTTATTCAAATGGTGACAGTTTAATCAAAATGGAGATACATACTCAATCCCTTCCTGCCTCCGCGGTTAGCAAAGTGCTCAGCCACACGGCCCAGCTGTCCTTGTTCTCCACATCCTGAGGTGTACAGCTCTCCATTCACAGTCAGCATCACCAGGTGGTCATTTCCTTTAGAATGAATGCAAAATATTACTATGCAGATTAGTTACATAGACAATGGCATAAAGCTACAGCTTGAATTCCTATGACCCACCTGAGACTATTTTAACCACGGGCTTGTCTATAGGAACTTTGACAGGCAATGTGCATTTTTTCATAGGCTCCAGAAGTCCAATGACACCATTATTGTCCTGCAATAGAAAAGATAGGTCAATCAAAACTGGTACAATGTTTCTACTCCACTGTAGGATATAAAAAGGCTATACTCACTCTAAAAGAGCCCCAGACATAGACGGCCCCCTCCTCCATGAGGGCAGCTGTGTGACTGTCCCCTGCAGAAACCTGCACCACTTTTTCACCAAGGTCCACTTTGGCTGGCACCATCTCTGAGCCCTCATCTGAAGTGTCACGGCCCAGCGCGCCCTCATCATTACAGCCAAATGTATAAATCTACACAGGGATTAGAGAAAACAGGAAGGATATCAGAAAGATATGATAAAATAACATTGAACGATCTTGTTAGTGGGCTCTGCACAAAGCTTCTGATTAATTTCTTTTGTACTCAGCTTACATTTCCTGTGTCGCTGAGGCAGACTGTATGCATGCCTCCAGCCACGGCCTGCACAATACCCTCAGGAAGAGTCACCAGAGCTGGTCTCTTCCTCTCCAGCACATCCTCTCCCAGGCCAAGCTGCCCAACATCACCCTGCCCCAGAACAAGAACCAGGCCCTTCTCCTGCCCGTGACTAACATGAGAGACTACAAACAACCACAACAACACAATGCATGAGATTTAACAGAATGCTTTTCAGATTTAGATCTTACAGAAAAACAACTTGTGCATTTCTGTTATTATTTGACTCCAATAAGACTGGCTGTGATCTGTAGTACCACATTCAAGCACTGATATAAAACTCAATATTATAGCTATAATGGCAAAAAAAATTTCAGATGCTGTGGACTCTTGCATTTCCATGGAAATAATTTTCTTTTCAACCATTTGTAAAGACTGCCTCACAATTAAAACAAAGAAAGGTTTATCGTTTTTAGTGTAACTTATTTAAGAGAATCTCTCCCCTAAATGGCACATAAAAAACAATTGGCAAAAACAGCTACAATGTGGGTCAGTTTAATCAAAGGTCTGGCTATATGAAAATAGAGACTTGCCTTTTTGTTTTTTCACAACCGTTGAGTCCTCAGTTGCTGCAATTGTTTGTCTCTTGACAGCTTTTTTTGCAGGCATGGTGACTCAATTCTTGACAAAACCTAAAACTAGAAATGTTAACAATAAAGGAACTTCCTATATACTAGTAATAGTAAATAGAAAGTGTGTGAGTGTGTGTGTCTGTATATGTATATATATTTGAACTATAGGCCAAACTAACAGCATTTGAGGCCTACGCGTAAAACATGCCTGGTTTGCTGTAATGTATAGAAAAATATACATTCTGCTTTCAAATCCTCAAACTCCTATGAAACTAACAAAACTTTCCAGGATCTGCATTGCTGTACAGGGCTTTTTATACTGACTATATATCGTCTCTGCTTGTTTGGGCATCCATTTCTAAAATGTTGCCAAGTTAGGCAACTGGCTAGATGTTGAAACAGCCATTCTGTTGTCTGGCGCTGACTTCACGCTCTATGACTGACAGCGGCAAATGCTTGATGGCGGTTTATCGGCCAAACATGGCATTGGAAAGAACAGACTCTTACTTTTTATGGTTTATACATCATTTTAATGCAGGAAATGGTTTAAACATGGCGGAATAAGATCTGAGCTCGAGTTCAACCCGCTGAAAGTTTAAACAGATCAAGCCTTATGCTGTGACACTTTGGAGTCCGAGGCTAACATGGTTCAACCACGTAACGTTGGGTTTGACCATTAGTTATTTCAGAGATCACATCTCACAAGATCGACTAGTTTAAATAAGATTAAGATCAATGAATGAATTAAACAGGACCAAACATGTTTGTTCTGCACACAGCTCACTTGCAGTTGCGGTCCAAAGCTCTGTTTGTATTACATTTCCTAGGTTTCTGAGAGACTTATACTTATTATCTTACCGTCGGAAGGCAGCTGAGATGAAAACCTACACTTATGAGTGAAAATAGCCCAGGTTCAAAGCATTTGCTTGTTCGAGGAGGTTTGTGAACACAAGTAACTCCTTGAGACTGAGAACGTTAGGCACGCGTCTCACTCCCGCTCTACTTCATGTGTTTCACTGGAATCGCGCTAATAAACAAATTCGCATGCGCCACCTATTGGAAAGGCGGGTTGGAAAATGTTGTGCTTGATTAACAATCGTCATTTCACTTTAAAATTAAACGTTTTTTTTTTTTTTGCCTTAATCATTTTTTTTTACATTTGTGTTTAATAGGCTTCAGCTAGTTATGGTCAATTATTGTTAGAATGAATTATATACTTTTAAGACATTCATTAATATTTTGAACTAAAAGTTTTTTATATTTTCAATTAATTTAATTTTAGTGTAGGTTTTTGTAACTGCGGTATGTGCTTTTTTTGTTATAGTTTTTAATATTAGGCTATTATTATTTGAAAAATATTTTTATTTCGCTTTAATTAATTTTTTATTTCAGTTTTAGTAATTCAACTACTTCAAATAAAATGTATTTCAGTTAAAAATACTTGTAGAAGCTGGAAAGAAAACAAAGAATACTGGAGTATGTTTCACAAGAAAATTCTATTTCAGTCTTTCTACCGCAAGGTTTCATTCAGTACTTAATTCAATATTACTTGCCATTTCTTTGTAATTATTTGTGAAATTTACTAGCAATTTCTGAGTGAAAATTAAAAAAACAAATTTTTTTAAGCATAGTTAGTTGCCAAGGCAACATTTCTCATTTTGATTTTTAGTTTTTCATGTTTAATATTATTATTATAATTAATTTGTTTTTCAGCTTTATTTGAATTACCCCAAATATTTGTTGTCGTTTTAGTTTTGGTTAACAATAACACCAGGTCAGACACCAGGAAGCCTCTACAGACGTAAAATTATAGACACAATTACATAAATTAGTTATCTTACCTGTTCCTGGCCCTTTCTCTCTAAAACCTCAACACACCTTTGATGTTATATGCTTGTGGCACATTGTTGTCTCTTTTGCAATGCATTATGCACATTTGTAATTGCAATTTTTCGACTGTGATTACTCATATTTGCAGTATAATTTCTCATTATTTGGACATTAGATCTTAGAACTGTGAAAAGAAGGGCCTACAAGGACCATAAATTTTCTTTGAGTAACATCTTTATTTCGGAAGTTCTGGACCCCAGAATATCTGGCTTTAGACATTTACACCATTACTGTGTGTGCACAAAATGATACAGTCAATATCATAAGAAAGCAGGCATTTGTAAGAAAAATGAGAGTGACAAACATTATCGTTAAGCATTTTAATTTAGATTTAGGTGTTTACATCTAAACAGCAAATTTGTCAATTTCTAAAAGTTCACATATAATTAAAAAGCAAGAATATACAACGCTACATTACATTGTAGTGTTGAATAATACACTAATAATTTTGTGCTTAAAAAAATAGTAACCTATATGAGTTTCAATATATTTAAAATATTTTTCAAAATAAAAGGAAGACAAGATATACACAAACAGTCAGGTTCATCTACAGAATGGATCTGTACAGCAGAGCAATTCCTATTATCCTACTGGCCAAAAAAAACCCAACATAAATGACAAAATAATTGGAAAAAATGAAGAAGAGTTCCTGCCGCAATAACCTCCCTGCCTTCACAAAAACTTCATTTCTAGAGCTGTATCAGTGCGTGTCCGGACTAAACTCATTCTCCTTTTAAATGGGCAATAAATAATCAGGAAATCCTTTTATTTATTTAGAAATAAAATATTCTGTAAACACGACTTCAACACTTCTTAAAACTGAAACAGCTGGACCTCACTTTTACAGAAGGCGATATGATAAAAAAAAAAAGATCACAGTTTTGCTGTAGATCAATAGTGAAATATGAAATGCTTACATAACATTCCACCTAAAACTGATCCTATTTTCTTCTATTCCTCTCTCAAACAGCGAGGACCACAAATTAAGGGGGGATCTGAAACCCTGTCTTGAATAAAGAGGGCCAAAGCCAATGTTATGAATAAAATAAAACTTGTGCCTTAAAGTTTCTAACATTATGAACGTTCCAAAGAGTCAAACTAAGCGAAAAAATTACAGCAGCCTATACAAACATACACAAATACACAATTATCATTCAGGCTCAGACCTTACTCTTGCAGTTCTTCTGTCTGCCCCGCTATGCTCAGTAACTAACACTTACTGTAGTATTACTGTATTTATTATTGTCACATCATTATTATTACTATTATTTTTAACTTTGTTACACTTCCCTGAAAGGAAATAACGTTTATCATATGAAGTAAAAGCAGAAAAAAGGCCATTCAGAGGGTAGAGAGAGGAATATCTGCCATTGGCACAAGTAACATCCTCTAATAAGTCCTTCATTGCCTCTCTGTCTTGGCACATGGGTCCCCTAAAGTCCAGGAGAAATACTGCATCTGTCCCCCAGGGGTCACCCGTCCCACACGTCAGTGGGTGGACAACTGAGAAACGGTTTGTTTTGATTGGTTTCTGAATGCTCCAGGCGTCCCTGTGCATCTGAAGAAGTACATTCATAGTAAAAGCAGTCTGAAGGAGCTCTGACACCCTGAGGCTCCTCACCCAAAAAACAGCTATTTCTTCCCAATATCCACCGGCCTTTAAGTGCTTAATTTTCCAGTTAAAAGACGCTGTTAAGGACGATGGAATCTAGAAATGACATAAAAATGAAAATACAAGGTTAGATGCTTTGCACAAGAAGTTTCTGTATTTTTATGTTGCAAGTAACCAGTACACTTGCCTTGTATAAATTCTGCTTTCCTCATGCACTTCCATCTCGGAGCTCTTAAACTCGTTGAGCTCTTTACGAATAGCAGCCTAAACAAACAGGTTAGAGTTGGGTGATCACATGTAGAGCAGATATAGATCAATAAGCAAGACATTTAAAAGAAATCAGTGTATTTTGAGACTATTTATAATCTAAAAGACTGAAGACAAATGATATATAAAGATCTCTAGATCTTTATATAGACACAAATGTGTGGTTGCAATTTTTATTTTGTAGATGTACCTTGTCTGCGGGAGTGAGTTTGGTCCATGGCTTGTCAGCACGGCGGTCGTAGTCCTGAGCGCATGTGACCTCCACGTACTCGTGGAAACGTAATATTTTTCGAGCCTGTAGTTCGGCAACAGTTGGTCGTTGACTCAACTAAAAAAAGAAAACAGACAGAGGCATGTCACAAATGCTGTCAGTTTGATTCAAATTCCTTGGAGCATTATTAGATTCATTCTCAATTCTTGCTAAAATCAACATTAATGTTATATTCCAGGTCCAATGTCATGCGAGCAAACCGAATCGCACCTTTCTGGTGAGTCTGCGCTTGATCTCCCTGACCTCTGCTTGTCTGTCTGCTTGATTTTTGGCTGGAGAGAAATGAGAGATAACATCAATACCAATCAGGTCGATTCAAAACCAATTTCATAGGAAAATTGTGTGGAGTATGATAAACTATTAGTGCATTAAAGTACAAAATAAAAGTGGAAAGCAAAGTACTTTGGATCTAATTTCACTTCATACGGAGAAAATATCATAAACTAAACCACATAGGCTCATTTGAGAGAAACAAAAGCAAGGACTTCACTCTATTTAGCAGAAAGTATCATTAATGTCTGCCGGCATATGAAACCAATAGAGACCGAGAGTAAAATATATGTGGGTCAGTGTCAATCCCTCAGTGAACACAGAGGGAATAAATGAACAGGAATAAATGAGTAACTAATGAAACGAGGGAAAAGGGACAGAACTATGGAACGATATTCCGGACAATTTTAAAATAGAATAGCAAATTGTATTTTCAATTGCGTTTTCAATATGTGGACGCATAAATTGTGACATAATCCAAATGCAATTGCAAATCCTGCATTACCGTTTGCATTTTCGCTTTCGCGAACGCACAGTGACTGCCAAATTTCAAATGAAAAAGCAAAGTCCATTTGCAGCTGTATTTCCCATGTCTTAGGAGTTACGAGCCTGTCATATTTAAATAGCAATATTAATTACCAGTCTGCTTTTTCACTCTCGCTGCGTCGCGCATGTAACCTGCTGCTATTCTATTTGAAAATTGTCCGGAATATCGTTCCATACAGAACAGAACGGAAGCAGGAAGATAAATCACAATACAATAACTGGAGTGAGTATAAAGAGGCAATTTACGCTGGAGAATGTTTCTCTGTTCCAACTCCTCAGCAGTAGGTCTCTGGCTCAATCGCCTACAGAAAAAAAAAAAATGCATATATTCTCTTTACACATTATACAATATTCAAATAGTTAACTTAAATGTTATTTTTTTTAAATAATTATAATAATTTTAATTATAATAAATAACAAAAATATTATTATTTATTTGTATTTAAATATATATGTAATTTAATATTTATATACATATACAAGTTTATATATAGCCAGTAGGTGCATATACACACACAGCATACATACATACATACAGGAAAAACATAAATAAATAAAGATATTTATATTAATAATTTAATATTATTATTAACTATTTAATAATATTTATATTTATTTATTCATGTTTTTTTTCCCCCATATGTATGTACGTATGCATGCTGTGTGTGTATATGCACCTACTGGCTATACATATACATATACATATACATATACATATACATATACGTGTGTGTTTGTAAGTGGCACTTTTCAACAAACACATTGAAACATATATTGTTTTTACATGCTGTGGTCATTAGATAATATTTTATGCAATTTACTCATCAGGATTTTGAAATATAATGCCCACTTTTCACATAAAATCGAGTCTCACTTGACTTTTTCATACTGAATATCCAAATTCACTCGGTAGCAGAAGCCCTGCTGGCCAGAGCACCTGCAGCGAGCAAACACACATGCGCACATGCATGCAGTCAGAAGTTCTGGCTCTCTTTTATATGGACAGATGTCCGAGTATACGATTCTACAAAAAAAACCACTGTGAAATGAATAACGACAGCAGAAGGCACTTTCTAAACACACAAACACAAATGTATTAAAAAAAAAAATGTACAAATGTAATTTTAAATTTTATATTTATAAAAAAAGAAGAGATAGTTCGAAGAGATAGTTAGTTAATTAAAGTTATTAATTTTCACAATATTAATGTTTTTATTGTATTTTTTAACAAATAAATGCATTAGTCAGCACATGCAATGTATAGTAATAAAAGCTATTCACATACTTGGTGGGCTGTCGTCATCCTCGTCTTCATCTGAATCATCGTCCTTGTACAGCACGGGCCCATCCGAGTCGCTCTCCTCCGGCTGTTGATCTTCCTCATCTTCCTCCTCCTCGCTGCTGTTGTTTCCTTCAGGGATGATGCTGATGCTCAGATCCCCCACCAGGCATCTGCGGCTACGAGGCTCAAGTTCTGGCTGGGACTGAGGGGATGGGAGATGATCAGGTGGAGGTTCCTCATCGTCGTCATCATCGTCCTCTTCTTCCTCCTCCTCTTCATCAGAGTAGTCATCTTCATCCCTGCATAAATAAAAATCTATTTCATACAACAGGATCCATATGCGTGTAATAAAATGTACTGTTTTTTTCAAGAGAGACAGAAAATATACTTTTTTTTTTTTTTTTTGGAGAAAAACGTCATCAGAGCCACATAACGCAGGACAGATTTGAACCAGCATCTCCCAAATATTTACGGAGGGAGAGGCAGCAAGAGCATACAAAGGAAGTCCAAAAAATTAAGTTAATATTTCTAAAAGTTAATAAAAATAATAAATAATTAAAGTTAATAAAATGGATGTTATATAACTACATTTGACTCATGTGATGTTTTGGCACAAAAATTTCTGGGGATCACAAGGAAAAATGATATGATATCATGACCCCTTTTATATGTAATATTTTCTTTGAGAAGTTTAAAATACAAGTAATTATAAGTGTGTCACTATATACAGTAGGTTTAGTAATATAAGCTTGCTTTGTAATTTTGCAATAAATAATTGTCGCTGTTGCTTGTGAAACAGTTTACATTACAGGCCCAATTTTTTATTTATATTTTTCTTATATATACACATATAAAAAATATAAAACTACAAGCTTAAAGAGAAGGACGTGCTAAAATTTGGCTTCAGCAGTATAGAGGCTGACGCAATGTAATATCTTTTTAAGTTATATTTATTATACAAAAATGATCCGTTCACAATAAGAACTATAATACATATTTACAAAATATGTGAAGTGAATTTTCATTTCATGCCAACTTTAACGTTATCATAAAGATTTTTTAAAGTGCTTTTTTCTTTGTTTTGTTGTGCAGCAACAAAACAATGTTTAAAAAAATATATTTTTTATTTATAATTCAATTTTTTGATTGACGGCTCTATTAAGAAGTACAGAAAATGGCCAAACTTCACTCACAGTTTGAGAGGCTGGATGGTGACTGGCAGTGGGCGGCTGCCCTGGTACTCTGGTGGTGTCTCAAACAGAAGTGAGTGGGCACGCTGGGAGCCATCTGGGTGTGGGAGAGTGGGTCCTGGGCTACTGAGCGCCCTCTGGATCATGATGTGTAAGGGAACAGGGGCTTGACGGGCTGGTGGTTCCTCCGGAGGGCTGGGAGGGTCAAAGTGGACAGGAAGTGGCTGGGGCAGGGGGTAGGGGTAGGAGTGTTGGTGGAGGAGATGATGGGTGTGGGCCCGTGGTGGGGAAGGGGGGAGGTGTGTGGGGAGGGGGG